TCACCAGACCTGGCAACACTGTTCTAATTTGATTAATTTTCGGTTTGTTTTTAACAAAGTTTTGCAAAATAGTTCTGTTTCTGGCTAAAAACATATTAAAACGCTCAAAATGGACAAAATAATGTACTTTTTGACACATTTTAGCGATTTTTTTACCTTGTTGAGTTAGAAAAACAACTCTCGTTTTTTCAACCTGTTTTTGAGTTTCTYCATGGCTAAAAAAACGTAAAAAATGGTGCCATAACAAAAAAGTGACACAATTTTTGATTGAATACTCGATTAAAAAAATATTTCAAAATGCATTAATTTTCTGCTGGAACTACAGTCATATTTCTAGAAAATCATCAGAAATTGGAATTTTTTCAAAAATTTTCACCAAATCATTAAACTCGCATAAAAATCACTAGATCTGGTGAAATGTTACCAGGCCTGGCAACACTGAAGGCCAGTACGAAACGGTTTTGCGTATCGTATTGAACAAAAACAGTGGTATAAAAATTATACCAAAAAAAAAAAAAATAATGACGTTTTAAATTAATTTATTTCATGGGCATCTAGCCACCGCGCAATGCCACAAAATTCCCTACATTCCGAAATTTTAATTTTTTTATTTAAAAAAAAGTGCAAAGTAGAAAAAATACTGCATGATATCTCGTTTATAAAACATTTTGTCACCCTAAGCCGGTACGTGCACCAAAATGCTTATAAACTCGTATCATCATATACTATTTCACCACTGATTATTGTTATTTTCAGCCCCTTATGGAATTTTCGCACGAAGTTGTGTCGCAATGGCAAAAGATTCCAAGAGTACGTTCCAAATTATCGATGATGAAGGATGTCCTGTTGATCCCAGCATCTTTCCTGCTTTCACTCCCGACGGAAATGCTCTCCAATCCGTGTATGAAGCTTTCCGTTTCACCGAATCCTACGGAGTAATCTTCCAATGCAACGTCAAGTATTGTCTTGGGCCATGCGAAGCGGTGAGTTATTTAAAATCCCACGTTTTTTGTGTCTGATTTCAAGTGTTAGGCTGTGTGTGAATGGGGCCGAGAATCGATCGAGTCCTGGGGTAGGAGGAAGAGATCTGTGTCGAACACCACCGATGAGGAAAAAGAAGAAGATATGACTTTAAGTCAAGAAATTTTAGTTCTTGATTTCGGTGATGAGAAACAATCCCAGTTTCTCAAAAGCGAGTCGAGTGCTGATTTCGGTAAAGGTATTTGTGTGTGAGGATTTCGAAGGAGTTTTTGCTGATTTGATTTCGTTGCAGATAAAACAGTAACAATTATTGAACCGTGCCCCACCAAGACTTCAGTGTTAGCCTTGGGTGTGACTTGTGCCTTATTAGTTCTACTTTACATCAGTACTCTCTTCTGTTACTACATGAAGAAGTGGTTAAATCCCGGGAAACACATCGCTTGAACATTCAGAGACATTTTGGTGCTTTAATCAAGTTTGATCTTTCGGTTGAGTTGACGAGTAGCATTGTTAGTTCTGTGATATCGTTAACTCGAGATGAGATATCAAATAGGGAATTCCCAGACTCTACATTATGCAATATGTATTTTTTAAGGATTTTTTTTTCGGGAAGGTGGCGGCCTTGGTGATGGAAGCTTTATTTTACCGTTGCGAAAATTTTACTTTCTTGATCTCTTAAAACTGATTTGCACTGACTCTCGTTCCTAGCGCAAATTTTGTAACGGTAAAGTCTAATTCGTGACTTATTTATTTTATTTATTTACTTTTTGTATATATCTCAACTAGGCTAACATATTTATACCAATTATTTTATACACGTTCTCAAGTCGATAATAATAGACAATTTTTATAAGAAAAATATTTATTACGAATTCTCCAACATGCTTAACCTATCCTGAGTCAAAATAGCCACATCGACCATCGCTTCAGGAATCAATAATTCAGCCACTGAATATTTCTGTGATTCTTCAAAAGCATATAAAATACTAGTGTCATATAGCATCATTTTACTTTGAATAAGAGCCAAAATACAATTCCTGAGACGTCCAATAGTCTCTCTTTCTGGCCTTGAAACGACCTAAAACCACAACTAAGAAAAAAATCAACAAATTTGTCCCACAACCTCTTCCAAATTTTGCACAAATCCTCCAGCATTATCTTCAGCGTTTGAAACTGTTGGATAAATCCAAATAAAACCATTATTTCCCAAAATAATACTAGCCCCCACATATAAATTGTGAAAATGTGTTTTACTTCTTTTAATAAGAGAGGGAAAGACTTTGAGTAAAATACCTTGCGAAAGCTACAATCAAAAATGAATATAACAAAAACTAATGATACGAAAAGACAAACTTTTCCATATTTTAAACTTCTCGTATGTAGAGACAAAGAACCATCTGAGTAAACACTCTGTACTTCAGCACTTATAAGATCACCCTCTTGAAGATACCGTCTCATCATATGTTCATCTTCAGCTGATCTACGCCGCTGAAAAATTCTTCTTTCATTAATATAAAAAAATAAAAAAATACGTACCAATTCCCCTCCTGGTAGATTAACCGAAGACAACAATAAGACAGAATCCAGACGAGAATTAGTGTCAACTTTCCAGCGTTTTTGCTGAACTTCTGTTACTCTCCCAACCACCACATCACCCACTTCCCCGTTATATCGACTTTTTAAAGGACGAATCGAAATTAAATTATTTACCTGTTCTTTAACTCCAGCAACTGATGATTTCAGAAAACCCTCCTCTTCGTACGTACCATGGCCTCTACAAATCAAACTAAATTCAAAGACAAACTTAAATGGAAACCTAACCTCATAAATTCATTTTGTTCCGTAATCACTTGTCCTGGAGTAAAAATCTTCGGAACTCGGCGATTAACACCAATTGAGGGGTTGATTCGATGAGCTGCGAGGCGTATGTGAATTTTTTGCGGCATGTTTTCACAAAAACACACTGTATATGATTGAGGTTGGATTTGACAACTACTGGTTATGCAACCAGTAATAAACACAGTAAGAAATTAACTGTTATCAATAATATAAAATATTTAATGCGGTTATTTTCCTAAAATTTGGCCGAATACTCGATTAAAAAAATATTTCAAAATGTTTAAATTTTCTGCTGGAACTACAGTTACATTTCCAGAAATTCATTAAAAGTTTTCACCAAATCATTAAATTAGTATAAAAATCACCAGATCTGGTGAAATTTCACCAGACCTGGCAACACTGAAGGCCAGTACGATTTCGGCCATATTTAGTATTTTTTGTTCTATTTTTTTGACAAAATTTCACTCAAAAAGAACTAAATGACATCAATTTGATTTTTTTTGTTATATTTAAGAACATTTTGCAAAATACCCTGCAAAATAAATAAGTCTCTGGTTCAAAAACGAATTAAATCGAGCGAGACTTATAATGATATCAATTTCAATCTAATTTGGTAATTTTTCAGTCAGTTTTAGCAAAAATTTGAATGTATTTTAAAAACGTGCTCTTAAAATGCAAAAATAACACCAGTTTTGGACTAATTTGATAAATTTTCGGTTTGTTTTTAATGAAATGTTGCAAAATAGTTCTGTTTCGGGCTAAAAACATACTAAAACGCTCAAAATGGACAAAATAATGTACTTTTTGACCCATTTTAGCAATTTTTTTACCTTGTTGAGTTAGAAAAACTACTCTCGATTTTTCAACCTGTTTTTGAGAAAGTTTAGCATTTGAGTTTCTGCATGGCAAAAAAAAAAACGTGCAAAATGGTGCCATAACAAAAAAGTGTCATAATTTTTGGTTGAATACTCGATTAAAAAAAATATTTCAAAATGCTGGAACTACAGTCACATTTCTAGAAAATCATCAGAAATTGGAATTTTTTCAAAAGTTTTCACCAAATCATTAAACTAGTATAAAAACCACTAGATCTGGTGAAATTTTACCAGACCTGGCAACACTGAAGGCCAGTACGAAACGGTTTTGCAACAAAAACAGTGCTATAAAAATTATACCAAAAAGAGGAAAATTTAGTCTTATAATGTTGGCGATCTTACTGTTTTTCTATCGAATTGCCAGTGTCAATCGGTCTAACGCAAAAAAATAATCAAACACGAAATTTTTGCCTATTCATTTACATTTTTACGAATAAAAACACACTGTATATATTGAGATTGGATTCGATAACTACTGGTTATGCAACCAGTAATAAACAAACTAAGAAATTAACTGTTATCAATAATATAAAATATTTAATGCGGTTTTGAATATTATTGCACCAAGCATTGTAGTAGCATTTGTAATTTAATTATTCGATTTATTAAAAAAATAATTTTTATTATTTCGTTTTTTGTGACGATTGGCAGTCCTGCATGTCATTTTAACATGTCATATGTGTTTTGACAAATTGGTAATTTTATTTAAGAAAAAATAATTGTATAATATTGATTAGGTAAGACAAAATTTTCTTTACTTGGTTGCAATTAGAAAAACTCAAGTTTGTTATTACAATTATGTAAGGCCGACTACCATTTCAAAATTCAATTATTCTAACCTCACTTCTGTATTTTAATGAATTTGTGTTTAAAAAGGGGGAAATGGTTATAATTCACGATGAATACTGGATCAACTCACGACATCGTAGTTGAAGTCCTGCAAAGAGCTTCAAGTCAAAATCCGGAAGTGTTAAAACCGGCTGAAGCAAAATTACGGGAATGGGAGACTCAACCAGGATTTTACACTGTTTTATTTGTACGTATAGAGTGGAAAAAAGTAGAAAAAAATAACCAACATTTCTTCAGAATGTATTATCTAATCACACTCTAGATGTAAATGTAAGATGGATTGCAGTTTTGTATATAAAAAATGGTATAGAACGATACTGGAGAAAAAACGCACCAAAGTAAGACATTCTTGGGTGTAAACAAGTGTTATAATGTCTATTTTTAGTGCTATTTTAGAGCCAGAAAAACAAAACATCAAACATGGTTTAATTTTAAGTTTTAACGAACCCGTTAGTCAGATTGCAGTTCAAAGAGCTGTTTTAATTTCAAAAATAGCACGAATTGACTGTCCTAAAGAATGGCCGGAATTGTTTCCTACTTTATTACAAGTAGTTGAAAATCCTGATTCTCTAGTCCAACATAGAGGATTTTTAACTCTACATCATGTTGTCAAAGCAATTGCTTCAAAACGACTAACAGGTGTTGAGGAATTTTGTAATTTTCTTTAACTAGTGGTTTTTTTAGGCGATCGACGTTTTTTCCAAGAGTTTTCCAGTAATATTTATTCATTTGTATTAAATTTATGGAATAATTTCACTCAACAATTTATGAATGATGTAATGAAAGGTGCAGAGTCACAAGTAGTTCTCACAAATCTAGAAAAAGCACTATTGACTTTGAGGATTTTGAGGAAATTGACTGTTTTTGGTTTCTATAAACCCAATCAAAACCAAGATTGTATGAGATTTTTAAAAGTGATTTTTGATAGAGCTAAAATGGCATTACAATGCAGTGAGTCTGGTTAAAACTACCAAAAAAAATCTCATATTTTTTTAATTTCAGGGAAACATTTGAGAGATAAAGAATTGGTGGAACAATGCGAAAAATTCATTACTCATTTAACGAAAGTTTTAATATCGGTCTTGGATGTTCATCCATTTTCTTTCATTGATTTCATTCAACCATCACTAGAATTTACGACTTATTTTCTTTTCACTCCAGATGGGATTAATTTTTTGTTTGAGCGTTTTATCATTCAATGTTTTAATTTAATCAAAAATATTTTATTATGTGTGGAATATAAGCCGCCGAAAATTCTCGAAATGTGTAAACAGGAGGAAACACTCAAGGCACATGAGATCAAAATAAATTTTTTTCAAGTCAATACTTTGACGGAAATTTGTCGTAAATTAGTTTCACATTATTTCATTTTGACACAAGAAGAGCTTGAAATGTGGGATGCTGATCCTGAAACGTTTGCGAACGATGAAAGTGGAGATAGTTGGAAATATAGCTTGAGGGTAAAATAACTGTGAAAATAATTGTGTAATAAACTGAAATTTTAGCCTTGTATGGAGACTGTTTTTGTGACGATTTTTCACGAATTTCGAGACACTTTAGCCCCGGTTTTACTAGAAATGATCCACGAAACGAATTGTATTGTGTCACCTGAAGACACTCAAGGTATATTACGTAAAGATGCCGTTTATAACGCCGTTAATTTAGCCGCGTATGATCTTTACGACGAAGTGAGTGACACAAAAAAAAATTTTTTTTCTATTACATTTGTGATTCTAGGTCGATTTTGATTCGTGGTTTGCCAATACTTTGACACAAGAATTGAAAGTGAAACACAACAATTATCGAGTGATTCGACGAAGAGTTTGTGCTTTAATTGGTCGTTGGACTGGTATTAAATTATCATCAGAATTAAGGCCTGCTTTGTACGAATGTGTTATTAATTTATTGGGTCCTGATGAAGACATGGCTGTTAGATTGACAGCTTCTGCGACTTTACGTCACGCAGTTGATGATTTTGAGTTTAGTTCTGACCAATTTCGCGATTATTTAGACCCGGCATTTAATTTATTGTTTAATTTATTGAAAGAAGCAAATGAGTGTGAAACAAAGATGCATGTTTTGAATGTGATGACTTTAATGGTGGAGAGAGTAGGACAGACTATTAAACCACATACTGATGCTTTGATTCATTATTTACCACTGTTGTGGACCGAATCTGAAGATCATAATATGTTAAGATGTGCGATTGTGTCTACTTTAGTTCAATTGGTCAAAGCTTTGGGGTCTGTTAGTTCGGAATTGAATCCGTTTTTGTTACCGATTATCCAATTAGGGACTGATACAAATCAAAGTGCTATTGTTTATCTCTTGGAAGATTGTCTCGAATTGTGGTTAACGGTTTTGGAAAATTCGACTACAATGTCTAATGAGCTTTTACAATTATTTAATAATATGCCAGCTTTGTTGGAATATTCAACTGAGAATTTAAGACTTTGCTTATTGATTGTGTTGGTTCACACTTTATTAGCACCGGATCTTGTCATGCGAACACACGGAGTTCAAGTGATTACGGTTTGTGATAATTTAATGGCAGATATGAAGAATGAAGGAATTGTCATGTTGATAAGAATGTTGGAGATTTTTATACGATCCTCGCCAATTCTTGGGTGCGAGACTGTTTTCCCTATTTTACCGCGAATTTTTCAGTATGTTTCATGTTTACAATTTTTTTTTGTTAATTTTTTAATTTCAGAAAAATCTACGAGGGTGAGGACTATCCTCTTCTCATGTCAATGTACCTGTCGATTCTCGCACGTGTTTTACTATCATCGCATGATGTTTTTACACGTGTTTTGCGTACTTTGGCTCAAGTCCATAATGAAACGGACGAAAATGTCCTTGGAAAAATTCTAAATGTTTGGTTATCGAAAATGCCAATGGTGTCTCAATTGGAGCAACGCAAACTTTTGGGTTTAGCATTGACGAATTTATTGACGACGCAGAGTAGACCAGTGTTTCAGCGATTTGCCACAGTTATGGTTAATATTTTGGAATGTTTGAACGATATGGAAGATTCGCTGTTGTTGTCCGATGGTCGTAGTCCAAATGATTATGATGATGTTGTTCCATATGAAACCGATCATGATCAGAGGAAAAAACAATTGATTTTATCGGATCCGGTCCATACGATAGTTTTGAAAGATTATTTGCAATCACAAGTAAGTGGATTTTTTGATTTTTGTATCATTTCTTTGATTCTGTTTCAGATGTATGAACTTAGGAATCAGATTGGGTTACCTCAATACGAACAACTTCTACAAACTATCGATCCTGATACTATTTCGCAATTGAAGGGATATATTACATTGTGAGGAACATAATTTAAAAGAAATGAAATTCTATCTTTAGCAATATCTTATTATTTTTGTTATATTTTTGTAACATACCGATCATTTGTTTATTCAAACTAATTTATTCATTACATGGCTTAGCTAATTTGAATTCAACTGATTTTAAACCTACATGTATATGATTGTACCAAATAAAATATAATAAAAAACTGTTACAATCAAAAGTGTTTGTCTCGTCTTATCAGTCGCCAAATATTGTAAACGAAAAGCGACAAAATTTTGTACAAACTAATCGAAAATCAATAAAAATTGTGCTATTTTTTAATCAAATTAGGTCGAAAGTAATAATATTTTTGGCGTTTCAATTATTTTTGAACCTTTTTAGTAAAAAAATTTGCTCAAAACGGCCCAAAAATTACCAAATTAGATCGAAAATTTTGCTACTTTTGACATTTTTGAGAGCACAAGCAGGTTTCTGAGCTAAAAACCTCTGTTTTTTTGCAAAATTTTGCTAAAGGAGACCACAAAATCACTAAATTAGATTCAAATTACCATTCTATTTTGGTCTGTTTTATTGGATTTAGTTTGGTGACCTAAAAACCTACCTACTTTTTTCGAAAAAATTCATTCACAAAAAAAAACACAATTTTTGAGTTAAAAGCTGTTTTTTTTTTAAATTTGGGCAAAAAATGACTAAATTTGGTCGAAAATGACATATTTTTAACTTTACAATAAAAATTGCACTTTTCATTTGCGACATTTTACTCAAGGAAACCGAGAAATCTCCTAATTAGAAAGAAAATGGTGTTTTTTGTCTATT